CCTTAGTTGCATACTAAAATCATCTGACAAGCTTTGAAAAAACACTAACGTTCATACCCCTCTTCAAACTGAATGAATTACTACATTTCAGAGTGAAGCCTAGGCATCAGTACTTTCCAAAAATTCTCCCCTGGAGACTGAGAATTGTGCCATGAGATTGACAACCTTTAGCTGAGGAGTTCTAGGTATTTGGTTATAAGGTAACCATACTTTTCATTTAGTCCAAAACGGTCCACGTTTACCTATTTATTAACCTCCAATTTAAATAGAATCATTTAACCCAGAGATGGGTTTCTAACAAGATTTTGTTTCACTTGTCAAATTGGTATAACAACAAAGAAGTTTAAGACCAATACGATCAAGTACTGGTGAGGCTAAAAACAGACACAAAACTGTTTAATATGTGAAGCGAAAACAGAAAGATAAATGTTTGAGCAGGCTCTTTCACTTTTGTTTCCCATTTTCATACACCCTAGGTTACAAAAAACTTCATGTCAAGTAAACAATTTGAAAAACCTGGAGAAACTATAGTTTTCTTTATCCATTTTGAGTCTGCTGGCAGATTACTTGAGTAACTTTCTTTTCTTACCACTTAACATTATCAGCTAATCAATTCAACTGGATTCTTTTCCACCTCAAATTTGTTCCAATCTCTTCTGTTTGTTTTCCAGCCTGGGTTCATGATCCGCTTGTATACTCTACCCAAAGGATGATGCTCCCCTCACTCCTTTCCTGAATCCTAGTCTATAGATATGCTTGTATCTTCCTTACTGAAAAATCACCAATCTCTGCCCTTCCCTTTTCCCAAAAATCTTAAGAATGTCTCCGTATCCCTTTTTACTTCTTCCATTTTCCCTCATCTGGCTGAGTCTAACCTACCAAATTTGCTTTAAGCCAGTGGGTTTTAACTGAGGTCTATGGATGGATTTGAAGAGTTAACTCTACTAAAACTACACGCAGAGCTTTGTGAATGGGTACATTTGGTGGGGAGAGAAGGTCTAATTCACAAATCATCAATGCTCTCATAAATGACAAATCAAATAACTGCTTCTTGCTGTTCACCCTGTTTGGCCTCTTCCACCCTCCCTTTCTGAGCCCGAGCTTCCTAGGTTTACACAATCCTGGGCTCCAAGCTTCCTTTTTTTTTTTTTTTTCTTCTAAAATTTATTTCTAGGAGAGAGAGAGAGAGAGAGAGACAGCGTGAACAGGGGAGGGTCAGAGAGAGAGGGAGACACAGACTCTGAAATAGGCTCCAGGCTTTGAGCTGGCAGTCAGCACAGAGCCCGACACGGGGCTCGAACCCACGAACCGCGAGATCATGACCTAAGCGAAAGTCGGACGCTTAACCAACTAAGCCACCCAGGAGCCCCTTTCTATTTCTTTTCAAAGGGGATGGTGGCAGGTAGTAGTGATGTCAGTGAAGAGTACAGTTTTGAATACTGAAACAGAGGTAAAAACATCCACTAGACAGCTGACTCTCCAAGTCTGGAACTGAAGCAAAACTTGGGGGTTTTGGATATACAGTGTATTATTCACTATAGGGTGAAGGGAGATAAGACTAATTAGTTAACAGTATTACCTGTGAGCTTCCCACCCACCCATAAACACAACCTCCACATGGCTACTACCTCTTTCTGAGAGTAAGGGGGCCACAATCTTGTGTGGGGTGTTAAGAAGCAGAATATATACCCCAAGTGTCAGGAAAATCAAGGGGAGAGAACAAATCCTGAGACACACCAAAATTAAGTTTTTTTAAGGTAAATCTTTAACATTTACATAAAATTTGTGGTATTTTTCCATAAATAGAAAATCAAGCATCTAAGAAGTAACTTGACCAAAGCACAAATATTAAAAGTTACCAAGTCTAAAATTCTGTTATGTCCATTAAACCAATACTATTTCTCTTTATTTTTTTTTGAAAAAAGTTTATTTAGTTTGAGAGAGAGAGAGAACATGAGCGAAAGAGAGGCAAACAGAGAGGGAGAGAGAATCCCAAGCAGGCTCTGTGCTGTTAGCACAGAATCCAATGTGGGGCTCAATCTAACGAACCATGAAATCATGGCATGAGACCAGAAATCAAGAGTCAGATGTTTAACTGACTGAGCCACCATAGGCGCCCCTATTCTGATATTTTTAACAGCCATCTCTCTACCACCCCATTAAGAACATACCTTTTTCTCAGTATGATAGGATTGACAAACGACAAATGGAAGAACAAGAAATAGGTAAGGAGCAATGAAAAACATCTTCCAGATTAAAACATAACTTTTATTTCAAAATCCCACTTCTGCCACTTACAAGCTGCCCTTTTTTGGTTGTTGTTTATTTATTTTTGAGAGAGACACTGAGCCTCAGTGGGAGAGGGGCAGAGAGAGAGGAGACACAGAATGGAGCAGGCTCCAGCCTCTGAGCTGTTAGCACAGAGCCTTACACGGGGCTCAAACTCAAGAACTGTGAGATTATGACCAAGCTGAAATCAAGAGTCAGACACTTAACCGACTGAGCCACCCAGGAGCTCCTAGAAGCCGCCTATCTTTTATTTATATGCTTTTTTTATGTCTTTATTTTGAGAGACAGAGAGCAAGCAGGGGAGGGGCAGAGAGAGCGGAAGACACAGAATCTGAAGCAGGCTCTAGGCTCTGAGCTGTCAGCACAGAACCCACGCAGGGCTGGAACCCACAGACTGTGAGATCATGACCCGAGCCAAGTCGGACGCTTAAACGACTGAGCCACCCAGGCGCCCCAAGGAGCCGCCTATCTTAAAGGCCAGTAACATCTACTCTATTTTTGCAAGTCTTTAAAAATGAGATAATGTCACCCATAAAAATGCCACAAGCATTATTTTAATAAAGGTGTTTTTGCAAATACCAAAACACAGTAATTCTCAAAACATGTAACTTTCTTTTCCCTTTCTATAATGTACTGTGCAGGGTTCTTGAATATCTGAGGTAAGAATTGGGAAATGTTTTCAGATATAATTTGGAAAGATTTGAATGGGAAAAAAAAATTAAAGATATGCTATAACTAAGTTAACCAAGAATAACACTGCTACCTTTCATTCATTCATTCAAAGTAGGCTGCATGCCCAGCACAGATCCCAATGTGGAGCTTAAACTCATGTCCCAAGATCAAGACCTGAGCTGAGATAAAGAGTCAGACTCTCAATTGACTGAGCCACCCAGGAGTTCCAACACTCCTACTTTTAATAAATCCCATTCAATTTAAGTGGAGGAACAGATGGGAATCACATTGTTTTACTTGATTTCAAGACACAGTCCCAAGACTCTATCAGAATTTGTTTTCCACAAAGTCAAAGCAGCAATGTCCTCCACTGAGCAAATAAAAAACTATTCAAATCAGGGGTGCCTGAGTGGCTCAGTCAGTTAAACATCTGACTTCGGCTCAGATCATGACCTTGTAATCCATGGGTTTGAGCCCCTCATCGGACTCTGTGCTGACAGCTCAGAGCCTGGAGACTGCTCAGAGCCTGGAGACTGCTCCAGATTCTGTGACTCCCTCTCTCTCTGCCCTTCCCCTGCTCACACTCTGTCTCTCTCTTTCTCAAAAATAAACATTAAAAAAAAGGAATACTCAAATTCAACAAATCCAAGGTGAAATTTTACTGTGTGAAGTTTAAAGGTTTACATAAAGTGTTAAGTTTTATTTCAGAAAAACAAAAGTACTGTAAGGATCACTGTTCTCCCTTCCTTTCACTCAGGTTTTACCAGAAATGATGTTGGATTTTCTGTAACATAACATGTAATCAAAATGACAGAATTAGGTGGTCTTTAGAAGACAGCTTTTTTTTATATCCGAACTTAGCATATCTCAGTATCTTCCAAGATGGGAGAAGTAACACCTTTACCTGGATTAAGACTGGGGTCATTTTCCTTTTAACAACCTAATATTTCATAAGCAGCAACCATTCATATTCATTTTCAAGTTTGCAGAACTGAATTTCTACAATACCTTTCAAACAGGAGAGAATACCAGAGAAACCCTCAAGACAAAGAATGGTCATTCTCTACCCAGTCATTATTCCACCTCTGCTCAAACGTTTCCTAGATTTCAAAATCTCTCTCCTTTTACACAGTACACTGAAACCCGCTACAATTCCACACATGTATATGATCTGAGTACACTCCAGAATTCCTTCTCTAAAATTTTCTTTTCATCCAGAAAAATAAAAGATGTTTACTTAAAGAAAACCTCAATGCTTACTCATTCAAGAAATATGTGTTGAGTGTTTACAATAGGCCACAAATTGTTTTAAGTATAAGGGAATATGGAAGAGCACAGAAGGCAAATCTCTCTGCTCTTGTACAATCAGCATCACAGATCGGAGGATAGAGACTTATAAATAAGCAAAAACAAGCCCAACAGTCCAACAAATTATTTCCTTTACTGGACATCAGAAGGAATTGAGTTTCTTAGAAAACAATATGATGGGGTGCCTGGGTAGCTCAGTCATTGAAGTGCCTGACTCTTGATTTTGCCTCAGGTCATGATCTCACAGTTGGGGAGTTGGAGCCCCGCATCAGGCTCTCTGCTGTCAGTGCAGAGCCTGCTTCAGAACCTGTCTCTCTCGCTCTCAAAAATAAACATTAAAAACAAAAACAAAAAAACCAATGTGATAGATCATCCCTAAACTCATCCATGGAAATTATCTTAAGTTGTGAATTTTACCTATTATGTACCAAAACCAAAGGGGAAAATTACTTTTTGTTTCTTTTCTAATACCTTTTTATGTTTAACTGACATCCATAACTTGTTTTTCCCTTCTTAAAATACTTGACTCACCAGAGGCGAGAGACATTAACTATGAAACAAGCTGTACTTAGCCTTCACCAGGCATCAGAACTCATTACTTCTACTGATAACTACAAAATGAAAATTGTAATTACAATGGTCTTAGACAAACTATTATTTTGCAATCGATACACTAGCATATAGAGGAAAGGCAGAATTGAAATTATGCACACTTAAAATGTTAATGTGTGATTGCTTCTCAAACTTTTGGCTAAGATCAAGTGTAGTATCTGTTCTTATCAGTTTAAAATGTTAATGTGAAATGTAAAAATTATTCCATCTTCATTTGTAGTGTGAAACAGCTTTTTAGTACTAAGCTTGATTTCAAAATAACCACCATTTTCGGGGCACCTGGGTGTCTCAGTCAGCTGAGTGTCTGACTTCATGATTTGTGGTTCCTGAGCTCAAGCCCCACATCAGGCTCGCTGCTGTCAGGGAATAGACTGTTTTGGATCCTCAATCTCCCTACTCTTCCCCTTCCCCACTTACGCTCTCTCAAAAATAAACATTAAAAAAAATAACCACCATTTTTGCATATAATGATACTCATATTTAGGCCAATAGTATTTAGAACTTTGTGAATTTTAAACTGGTATTTCTACTGCTATGACAGATTCAATATTAAATGTCAACTTCTTATGTATGCATGGTTACTTGGAAGAAAACGTATCCTATCCTACATAGAAGTTTTTCTACTACATGTACTACATGAGAAAGGACATACACAGCTATTGCAGGTTTTACACACTTTCACAGACACAGAGAGAATGCCAAAGCCCAAAAACAAAGAACACAAAATAAAAACAAATAGTTATGCACAGTTAATTATCTACACCAATAGCTGGACTTCCAGGATTTTTTTTTAATCCCTAAGAAGACATCAAAATGGGAGTAAAAATAATTACTGGGAATAATCCTGACTCTAATTTTTAGGTAACCTCATTTGTAAACATGATTATCCCCTGTCCCCCACTTCAACTGCGAGTCACAAGTCCAAGTTGTCACCGATGTTTCTAAAGGGCTATGGACAGGAGGTTCCAATGACCCCTAAGCCTTGGGTTCAATTAATTTGCTACAGCACCTCACAGAACTCAGAGAAACATTTTACTTACTAGATTACAGTTTATTATTAAAGGCATGTAACTCAGAAACAGCTAGATGGAAGAGATGTGTAAGATAACGTATGGGGAAAGGGCAAGGAGCTTCTATGTTCTTTCTGGGCCCACCATCCCCCCCCCCGATTTCCAGTTGTTTGCCAGTCCAAAAGCTCTCTGAACCCCACCTTTTTTGGGGTTTTATGGAGGTTTCACTACAAAGGCATGACTAATTAAACCTCTGGCTGTTGAAGGTTGAACTCAATCTCTAGTCTCTCCCATGGCCCAAGGAGGTAGAAGGGAAAGGGGCTGAAAGTTCCAACACTCTAGTCACATGGTCCGTTCCCCTGGCAATCAGTTCCCAATCCTTAGGGGCTTTCCAAAAGTTACTTCATTAACATAAAATACCCTCACCACTTAGGAAATTCCTAGGGTTTCTGAAGCTCTGTGCCAGAAACTGGAAAGAAGACGAAGTATATATTTATTATAAACTACAGTATCACAGGCTCCCTTACATTTCCATCTTAATTTATACATTACTCTAGAAAGGTTATGAGCACTTACGTATCAGGCACAATAGTAGGTGCTTTATTGTTATACAAATAAATTGTTATACACTTAAGTAATCGCCATGACACCTATCCCATATGGCTACTAGTCCAATTTAACAGACAAACTGAAGCTAAAAGATTAAGTAACCTGAGCTTGTCCAAGACTGTAGTTACTAACGTGTTAGACTCTAAAGCCACTGGCTCTTCCATTTCAACCATGAAGGTTCTTCACAGCTCCCAAGATGTTCTCTCTGAATTCAAAGGGGGAGAATTAAAATGGAAAAAAAGGGATGTGGAGGGAACAAGGATGAGAGATTGTGATCTTTCTCTTAAAATCATGGTTACTATATCAAACTTGTACACATCCCTCCAATTATGGTTTATCTTTTTAGTATTAGAAACGATCACTATGACATTAAAATGTAAACTGTATCATACCATGAGGCCCTGCTTAAAGATCTTCAAAGACCAGGATGAAGACCAAAATGCTTCTTTAACAGTCTACAAGGTCCTCAAATACCCAACTCCAGCCTCACTTTGCAACTATACCCTGGCTGTCTGTTCTAACTCCATTCAATCTGCCTTCTTGTTCCTTTAAACGTACTCCTTTCACAAGGATTCTGAAGCCTCTGAACAAAGCAGTCTGCTTAGTTCTGCCCATATGAATTCACCTTCACCAGCGCTCAACTCACCTGAGCACTCCTCAAGTACTCCTATCTGAGGCTCTGAGAGCCAGCTACTTTCCTTAAACCATCTGTGTGATGATCACACTCCCTACAAAAACAAAGTTCCATAAGGGTAGAAGTTCTATGAGCTGTAGTCATCGTTGTATCTGAAGGATTCACTGACAGACAACAGTTAGGTGCTCAAAAGAAAAAATAGGGTGGAGGGAGTTAGCAGCAACAACAAAATCAAACAAACCCTCTCCCCTCCCATCTCTCTCTTTTATAATGTGTCCAAAATTATCTTTTCCATTCCCACTCCACTTTAAGAGACTCCAATTTTAACAGCTTCCTGGCTGATCTCCACACTACCAATCTGTTTAGCATATTAACTGTAAATTAATCCAATACTGTCAGTCTCTAAAACCTTTAGTGCCATCCTCCTCTCTACCTTTTCCGTAAGTACTATTCAAGGTCATCCTCAATCAGCCCTGACTTATTTTTCCTTTCCCATTCCCCAATTTCAATACTACTACAGCCAGGTTGACATACCTCAGATTTTAAATAAAAATTTTCTTACTGGGGTTACATAGGTGGCTCAGTCGATTATGTGTCTTACTCTTGATTTCGGCTCACGGTTCACGAGTTTGAGCCTGACATCAGGCTCTACACTGACAGTGCGGAACCTGCTGGAAGTTTTCTTTCTCTTTCTCTCTCGCTCTCTCTTCTCGTCCCATGCACTCTCTCTCAAAAATAAAAATTAAATTTTTTTTCTTATAAGGGCACCTATGTAGCTTAGTCATTGGGCATCCAACTTCAGCTCAGGTCATGATCTCATAATTCATGAGTTGAAGCCCCGCATAGCGCTCTCTGCTGTCAGTGTGGAGCCCCCTCTGGATCCTCTGCTCCCCTCCCCCACTCATGCTCTACCTCTCTCTCTCAAAAATAAACATTAAAGGGGTGTCTGGGTGGCTCAGTCGGTTAAGCGTCCAACTTTGGCTCAGGTAATGATCTCACGGTTCGTGGGTTCGAGCTCCGCATCGGGCTCTGTGCTGACAGCCAGCTCAGAGCCTGGAGCCTGTTTCAGATTCTGTAACTCCCTCTCTCTAGGACTCTCCCCTGCTCATGGGCGCTCACTCTCAGAAATAAAGAAAACATTAAAAAAAAAAACACACATTAAAATATTTTTAATTTTTTTTCTTATTAATAGTGATAAGAGCAAACATTTGAGTGTTTGTTTTGTGTCAGACACTATTCTGTTATATGTATAAAATTATTTAATCCTCAGAACAAGTCTATTATTGGCCCTCTTTTCGGGAGTAAAGAAACTAGGGCAGAATGATTAAATAGGCAGTCAAAATGGTACAGCCAGGATTCTACCCCACGTACGAGCTCCAGGGTTCTACAGTTTTAACCACCATCAATAATGATGGAAAATAAGGAAAAAGCTATGATTAACCTCACCATATCCCCAACTCCAAGATGAACTCTTATCAAAAAGTTTTTGATACAAAAACACATTTTATAAAACTGGATTCTTCACTTTATTTAAAATTTCCACCTGTTGATATTATTCTTTTACAACATTGCTAATAGCTATGACCACAGAATTTTCTTCTAAAACACTAGCACTATATCCTTAAGAAATACAGCATAATCAAAAACTATGCTATAAAAAACTATTGTTCAGTGGGAGATGAGATTTAATGTTTCAGGAATTTAAAATGCAGCAAGTTATTTTCAATATAGCTGAGTCCACAGCTATAAACCTAAATATCCCTAAGCAATTTTAAAATGTAGTCTTTGCTCAAGAGTAAAGGACTTTCTTTTCTTAGCTCCACTAGCACTGCCATTATCATTAACATAGGACTCCTCATGCTTCTCACAAGTATGATAAATTCGACACAAAACCAGTCAAGGCAGCTATTAAGCACAGGTTCTCCTGCCCCCAACTGTGAGGCTAGCTCTAGACAGCTTCACATTCCATCAGTAACTCAGGCTAATGCAAATGAAGGGGTTGAATTAATCTTTGTTAAATTCAAATGCTCATATTCTATTACCACCACTATTAAACACACACAGACCTTAATTTTTGTCACCAAATCACCATATACAAAAGTAACACTGTGGATCAATTGTACGTCACTAAAAAAATTAAATTAAAAATTTTTAAATAAAATCACTATGTACACTCACTGCTGCTTCCTATGGGTAACTTCCTATTATGGCATCACAAAAGAACCACATCCTGCATTCTAAGTTTTTTTCATTGCAGCAAAAAACGTATTCATTTAGAAATGCTTGGTAATTGGTTAAACACTCTTATTCAAAACTTCTCCATGCTAAGTGTCTGTCAGGTCATATGTATGTATACAATTAGGGTACTGGAGGCTTTTATATGAACATTAAACCTTCAATAAATTCCAGCATCCTTTCCAAGGGATTCTCAAGTGTGAGATTTTAAGTGGCTGCCGGCAAGGAATAATTTTAAATTAAAAACGACTTCTGGAATGCTGGCATCAGAAGCTCTTTGGATATTCTCCCCAGTGAAACCAATAACCAGTGAAAATTACATAAAAATTTTTTTGAGGTCCCCAGAATTGTCCTAAGGGTATACAGTAAATGAAGAAACACTTATTAAAGAAACTCTACTATATCTCACTAAGAACAGAGTCTGTGGCATTTTGGGCCAGCTCAGCAGGACAGAAGCTCCATTCCACGTGGGTGCAGCCAAGAATACAGGGCTCTCTCCTCCAACCTCCCAATCAAGCTATCTGCCGCAAGACAGGGAAGAGAGCTAGCATTTCTCCTCATCCCCAACTATGACTTGCAGGGCCTGTATTGCAGGCGCAAGCCACTGAGATGTCCAGGGCTCCTTTCTTCTATCCAAGTTCTTGTGGAGAAATGTGGCCACAGATTCTTCAGACCAAGAATAATGTGCTCCTAATGGCCCTCATTCCATCTCGCTCATAAGACTGAGGTTCCACACCAGGAGAGACAAGGTGAGAACACCAGAGGCTGCTGCTCCCACCCAGCACCCTACTCATGAAGCAGGGGTGTCGCTGACATAT